GAAAGAAAGAAAGAAAGAAAGAAAGAAAGAAAGAAAGAAAGAAAGAAGGAAAGAAAGAAAAAGAAAGAAAGAGAGCCCCAAGAAAAATAAAGAAAGTTAAAGAAGCATGCTTCCATCTGCATTCAGATCCATCAATTCTTTGTCTGGAGGCGGCTACCACCTTTCATCATGAGCCCTTCAGAACTATCCTGAACCATTATATAGCTGGAATAGTTAAGTCATTCATAGTTGATTATCCTCACAGTATGGCTGTTACTGTATGCAGTGTTCTCCTGGTTCAGCTCACTTCACTCTGCATCATTTCACGTGAGTCTTTCCAGGTTTTTCTGAAGTCTGCCTGCTCATCATTTCTTATAGCACAAGAGTATTCCATTACACTCATATACCACAACTTGTTCAGCCATTCCCCGATGGATGGGCATCCCCTCAATTTCTAATTCTTTGCCTCCACAAAAAGAGCTGCTATAAATATTTTTGTATATAGAGGTCTTTCTCCTTCTTAATGATCTCTTTGGGATATAGACCCAGCAGTGGTACTGCTGGATCAAAGGGTATGCAGAGTTTTCAGCCTTTGGGCATAGTTCCAAATTGTTCTCCAAAATGGTTGGATCAGCTCACAACTCCACCAAGAGTGCATTAGTGTCCCAATTTTTCTGAATTCAAATAGATGCACTTTTAAAAATCTTTGGCTCTAGCTTTATGTTCCCAAAGAGAAAGCATTCTTATCAGGACAAATATTGACAACACAGATTACATAAGCAGCCCTCTATCAAACATGTTACCTAAATAAGACATCTAAGGGCAGGTCATAAATGGCCAAAAGAGATCCACTCTATACTAAAAATGAGGTGATAATGTATTCCTTGTGGCCCAAGCCCACACCAATTTGGGTCCATGAGCTTCCCATGAACCTCCCATGGCTACACGAGCTCTCCTTTCCTTCATACCTCCGCCCTGTGGGCCCCATGCGTAGAGTTCTGTCCTTCTTCACTCTGCTTCCTTGAGACTTGGCTCCCATGCCACTTGTGACATACGAGAGGCTTTTCCCAGGCCCCCCAAATGCTGGTAATAGCCCCTCCTTCTCTGAGATTGCCTTCTACCCACCCTCTATGCATCTTGCATGGACCTAGTTATGTACATGTTGTCTCTCCCATTAGAATATAAGCTCCTTGAAGGCAGGGGTTGTTTTTGCTTCTCCTTTGTATACCCATCCTAATAAATGAATGTTGATTAACTGATTGACTGGTTCTACCTCCCTGGAAATTGGTTGTTTGGAAGGACAAAAAATTAAGGGAAAAAAAGCCAGAGATTCCAAAATTCATAATTTTGTTCCTTTGGAAAAGTCTAAATTCAATGGACATATTTCCATTTCAAGCACTATTTTCAGGAACTTAATGTCTGAGGCCTGCTGGCACAATTCAAAGACAAAGTTAAACTCACCAATCGGACTAAACAACTTGAATAAGGTAAGTAGCCCTAATTCCTCCTTCTGAAGCACTTCAAGGCCTACCACATGCTCTTCTCCGAGCAGTCCCATGAGCTCAGCAGAACAAGTCTGAGGAAGCTGGGGCTCAGGACAGTGAAGTGACTCCATGCCCAGGGCTGGCAGTCCTCCAAACCAAATTTTCTCACGCCACATCACTACACTCGCCCTGCGCAGGTCAAAAGACACCAAACCAGTTTTAATCTTCCAAAATGTCACTGGTTCAGGCAGCAGAGCGCCATGTGCCTGACACGCCAGGGTGCTGGCATAGTGAACTACGTACAATGAAGCAGCTAAGCATGGAAGGCTAAGGGAACTTCTCATACCTTCCGGAGAAACTTCTTGTTTCAAAGATGAAATCCTGTCCTCAGGCAAAGGAACATTTGGGTGATTTTGTGAGAGTATTCACTGAGGGAAAGATTTCTCTCCAATCTCCTTGCCTAAAAAAACAAAAGGGAAAAAAATTAAGTTTGGCATAAACCATTTTTAACTAATGACACACACCCCATACCCAAAAGTTTCAAAAATGGGGGAATGACCATTTCTAAGGACACTAAGGACAGACTGCTGGACTACTGTCCAACTCCAGTCTGGGACCGATGAAGGCTTCTTCCTGGCTGCAAGGTCTTCGAGTGAAGAAAGGATGACCACTTCATAAAACCACAGGATTTCAGAGGTAGAAAGGACGTTAGAGACCATTGTGAAAGAGGGAGGAGGAGGGGCAGGGGAAGAGACAGAGACATAGACAGAGAGACAGAGGGACAGAGAAAAAGAGACAGAGAGAGATGGAGACAGAGACAGAGAGAGACACAGAGAGACAGAGACAGAGAGACTGAGGGAGAGAGAGAGAGAGAGAAAGACAGAGGGAGACAGAGAGAGAGGGAGAGATAGAGAGACTGAGACAAAGAGAGACAGAGAGAGACACTGAGACAAAGAGACAGACACAGAAAGACAGAGACAGAGACAGATAAAGAGACAGAGACAGAGAGAGGAGAGAGAGAGAGAGAGAGAGATGCTTTCAAATTTATAAAGTATATCTGTGTATATTACCTCATTTGAGATACCTTCCCCAAGACTCACTATTCCATACTTCCACTCTAATTGTTAGGAAGCAGTCTGTCGCTGTATCAAGCCTAAATCTACCTTGCTGCATCTCCCACCTGCTGCTCCTACCCTGGGACCAGGAAGACGAACCGAATCCCTCTTACACAGAACAACAGCCCTTGAAGACAGCTGCCATATCTCCCACCTTCTCCTCTGCAGTCCTATCATCACTAGTTCCTTCGACTGGAAGGAACAATATGGCGTGAACACAAGGTCCCCTTCCCTAGACAGTTAGGCACCACAAACTGAACACAAAAGTCCCGATGTAGCCTACCCCCTGAGAGGACAGTGGGACTGCCTGACTTCTCCCCGGGGCCCAGGAAGCTCCTTACTGGCATAACCTCAGCACCCTGTCAGATCTCATCAGCCTTGGCTCTCTGCCTCATCACCACCCTCCGCCCCTGGGACTGGAGGGTGGGACCATGAACTCAGCTTCCATTTAGGAAGAGATCTCGGCTCAGACAGCTCATTTCTCTCCTGGCTGCACTGCTCTGGGCCTTCTCTGGCGGACTTCAGCACCAGCTCCTCACCCCCTTTGCAGCCTTCTTTTGTGGGTCTTCTCCCCCCAACAGACCGTAAGCTCCTTGCGAGCAGGGACTGTCCGTCCTAGCTTTTGTATCTATATCCACGGCACTTGGCACGGTGCCTGGCACATAGGAGGTGCTCAGTAACTGTTTACTAACTATTGACTATCACCTCCCTTTTTCCTCAGCACTCAGTCTCTCTTAGGGCAGCCCCAGATCCCACCACACTGTCTCAGACTGAGCTTGCAGGTCACTGACCCCCACTGCCCAGCTCTTTTTTTTTTTTCCCAGAAGCACTGCTCTCTAGTCATGCCTCCTTCAACTTTTACTCGTGAAGCTAATGTTTTTACTTCTAGCGCTTTGTTTTATATCTGTTCCTATTCAATTCTAGATGTTCCATTCGGTCCAGTGTGAGAATGTGGACCCTGACTCAGTTACCCAGCCATCAGCTCTCCGTCCCAGCTTCCCTCCAGATCTTTGTCCAAATCATCGATAAAGATGTTAAACAGCAGCCTGTAGCCCAGGACGGAGCCTTGGCAAATGCTGAGTGAAGCGGCCCACCCTTCCACAGTGACAAAGAGCCATGAATGATCGTGCTTAGAGGGCCCAGTCACTGGACCTGCTTTAAGCCTCCTGGACCCTAACCAAACTGGACTCATCTCTCTCTCTCCTTCCACTCCTTCCACAGGCGGAAGGCAGGGGCCTTGAAGCATGCTTTGGTTAGGTAGCTCTGCTATAAGCGGGGTTGCCTTGTCGGGTCAGTCCTATTTAAGATGAGGCCACAAGGGCTGTGAGGACCACTTTACGATTCAGGGGTGAGTCATTCCTTTAGTAAGACATCCTAGAATCTGGCCAGGAATTAAAGTCGAACTTACTGGCCTATTCTACTCACTTGTGTTTTCAGAGAGCAGAGCATTTGCTCTTCCCCAATCCTGTGGCACCTCTCTCACTCGCCACCATCTAGCAAAGGTCCCTGAGTGTAGCCCAACCACTGTCAGGCAGGTGGGAGGGGGATTTTTGTGGACTTACAGATTGGACTACATGGCGTCTTAGCTCTCTTCAAACTCTGAGATTCTGTGATTCTATGAGTCAAAAATACAGATCACCTGAAGGCCAAGAGAAAAGGGCACGACATGTACGAAGTTGCACCATGTTACATATGACTGCATAAAAGACACTGTTGGCAAGGACATGGTGGCAGGTTAGTTAGGCCAGGTCCGTTCCCCAAGGAGGCAAAGACAATCACCATGACTAACAAGCCCAATGGACGAAGTCCTTGACTCCGAAGAAATTCCACCAATCAACGTCTCTCCTCTTCTGGGACCTTTTCTCAACTGGTATGTCAGGTCACCCCCTCCCCTCTTCCCCATCCAAAATTGGGCTCTGCACCTGGAACCACCCTGGGCTTTGTAAGCCAGCTTTGGCCTGACTCATCTGGCTGGGATCCCGGCCTCCACAGTACATCTGGGCCATCTCTGTGCTCATCCCCTTTATGTGCTGGCTTCTTCCCCGTTAGCATGGAAGCTCCACGAGGGCAGCAGGTGCACTGTTTGCTTATATTTGTGTTCTCCAGCACCTGGTACAATGCCTGGCACGTGACAAGTGCTTAACAAATGCTCTCTACTTACCTCCCCACCTACCTATTTTGGTGGGGCCTCCTAACCACCTTCTGTCTACCTCAGTCTAAAAACCCTACAGACCCCCCCCTCCCCAGGCAGCACAGAGCTAGCAGGGAGGGCTGCCCAGTGCTGGGCTTTTCCTGGACGTGCACTCTCACCCTTTCCAGGCTCCACATGAATGGGGCACATATACCCACATATCTTCTGTCTACTAAATATTTGGGTGGGTATTATTTACGCCACAATAATTCAACTCAATGTGAACTTTGTCTATGCCTCATAATCATAGGCCTAGTTAACTGAGGCAGGGGGCCAGTCAAGTTATAGGCATGCAAAAGTCACAAAGCTACAAAAGAACCAAGAGGACACGAAAAAAGCTGAGAGGTGGAGTGTCTTATTCGTGGCACGGCCAGGAGACCAATGACAGTGGGTTGAAGAGTATGCGGTGGGGAGTGAGGTGTAAGAAGACTGGAAAGGCAGGAGGAGGGGAGGCTATAAAGGGCTTTGAATGCCAAACAGAGCATTTTATATTTGATCTTAGAGGTGACAATTGGAAGCCACTGGTGTTTACTGGGGGGAGGCTGACATGATCGGGCCTACTCTTGAGGAAAATCACTGTCGTGGCTGAATGGAGGATGGACTAGAGTGGGGAAAGACTTGGGGCAGGCAGACCCTCCACTGGATCCTCACAACAACCCTAGGAAGTAGGTCGTACTATTATCCCCATTTACAGATGAGGAAACTGAGGCAAATGGAGGTAAAGTGACTTGCCCAGGGTTACCAAGCTAGTGTCTGAGGCTGGATTTGAACTCAGGTGTTCTTGGCTCTAGGCCCAGCACTCTGTGCACTACAGCGCCCCCAAGCCATCCTCAGAAGCTGCCCCAGAAAGAAAAGTTAACCGACAATTCATTTCAGGCCTTCACTCACAGAAATTAGCATTTTTAAAGGCAGCTCTTTTAAGCCCTGTTCAGACAGGATTTTAACAGTTCAATTCCATCTGATCTTTCAAATATCTATTAAACGACTACAAAGTACAAGGCACCCTGGCGCAGTGGACAGAGAATGAGGAAGACACGGGTTCGCATCTTGCCTCTGACATTCGAGTAAGCTCAGGGACTGTCTTTTGCCTCTTTTTGTATCCCCAGAGATTAGCGCAGGGCCTGGCATTTAGTAGGCGCTTCATTGGTGTTCACTGTGAAATAAGAACCCTCTGCAGACTGAGCCACCCAAAGTCAGGGAGAAGACACCAGGCCAGGGCTGGCCAGACGCCAAGCAGTGAGAGCAGAGCTGCCTGCCGGCGGGAGCAGAGGCAAACTCGACTGTCCCGAGCTCTGCACAAACTGCCAGGCAGAACCAATGCTCTAAGCCTGAACCCACTCTCCCCAGGGACTGAGGGGACACTTCGGAGAGGGAGCTCCTCTCCGAAGAGAGGAACACGTTTGCACTTCTGTTATCTTCAGAGTAAATATTCCTCTGTAAAAGCTAGCTGATGTTAATGGCTTAAAATGAAACGGGAAGGTTACTCCCTAGTGGTGAAGAGTGGGGGAAGGGAACAAGCAGGAATGGGGGCTTGAGGCAGTGGCATCGGAGCAAGACCCTCAGGGTTGCCCTAGGGCCCTGATGGCATGACTAGCCGGCCTTGCCCTAGGAAAGTGAATCCAGAGTCACAGCCAAATCTGTTTGGCTGTTCACCGCCCAAAGATGCTAACGCCTCTGCTCCCAAACGTCCTCTCTGGCAACCTTATTTCTTATTTCTCCTCTGACCAATGGAAGACGGAGAAAGACTAAAGATCCTTAGAGGCAGACCCTGCATTTGGAAGTCTTATTCCATTTACTGTCCATTCGGGTCTGTGCTTGAAGCTGCTCCTGAACCACATGGCCATGATTTCATCTCTTGAGATGAAGTTAATCCCAAAAAAGGTCAAGCTGAGGTGGAGGCAGAGGCAGTTCAAGAGAAAGGGTCTGAAATTTCACTAACGTTCAGATCATACCGCCAACTTTTCTTTTTGAACCTGCAGAGGCTCAGCAAAGGAAAAAGCCTCTAAGGGGGGGTGCAGGAAGACCACAGCAGAACATGTAATTTTCTAATAGTTCAAAATGAGAAATGAGGTGAATGGCTACAAATAAACTTTTAAAAATATAACCATACATCCCAAATTGCTGCATCAGTAATACAGCCCACACTTGCCAGTA